AAACCATTTATCGGATAAAGTAAATCTGATTATATGTTTACTTCAGATATTTAAAATATTTAGGGTCTGTGAATGTAGAAAAGGAACGCAAGTGGTATTTTTCAGAAACATTGTTGTATGAATAGACCTAAAAGTAATTCATATACAGTACATATGTTTCTGAAGAAGCATAATAATAGGTTATTTCTGTTCTCAGAGCTGGATTAAATTTGAATCTAAAAAAACAAAATATACTTTCTAGGCTGAGTTTAACGCATCTAAGAAATGTTTTATTTCTTTAATAGTATTTGTAGATTTGATATGTAGAATAATTAAGGGATGCAACATATTGGCATGCAGTCTGGCAGTGGGGACTTAAGGAGAACAGATGAAGTGGAAGTCTCAGAAAGCAAAGAGTCAACTCTCTAGGCAGGTAAATGAGAAGAAGTAGACACATATTTATGGAAAGACAAGACATGTAGTCCGAAGTCTGAGCATATACTCAAGATGAACCAATGAAAAAGAAGAATGTTGCTATATTATTATATATTATATATAACAAAATATATTAATTTTGATAACTTATAGAGCAAATTATGTTATGTAAATACATAATGACTAACTATGTTTGAATTTTTTTCCTATGGTTATTATTTCTGGATCTCACATAAGGTTATGAAATGTTGCACTACACATGTGTATACTGGAAGTTTTAATTTTCCATTGCATAAAATATTTCAGGGCTCACTGCTATTCAACAGGGAGGTATACAAAAATCTAGCATTTTTTGTAGTCTTTTGATGGAAAAAATACTAAAATAAAGCAACCAGAATCTGTTATGTAACAGTCATAGATTTTTTTAAGATCCTTATAACAGGGAAAATTTAAATTTTATCCCCACTTATTTGACTTGGTCAAAAGCTAATCCAAGAGTTTAAGCACTTCTCAAAAAATCTATTATTTTCTTAATCCAGTCTGTCATTGATGGACATTTGGGTTGGTTCCAAGTCTTTGCTATTGTGAATATTTTCTTGCCAATATGCCTAGTGATTTCATTGAGTTCTATCTCTTTTCTAGATTGGTAAATTTTTCCCTTTCTAATTATTTTGTAAAAATTAAATGTGATGGCATTTCAGGAAGTAGATAATAAAACTGTATTCTCTTTCTGCTAAATTGTTGGATTACTTTACTTAATTAATGTATTCATGGTGGCTCTAAAAAGACCTATGACCATTTGTTTCTACCAAAATTAAATGCCAAAGTATCAGTATATTCTATATTTATATCCCTATTCACATTAACTACAATCATAATCCTGCCAAACCTCATTAATTTGGAATTCTCTAATACAGAATTTGTAATACTTCAAACAGGTGGTAGACTGATGCCATTGAAAAGAGTGTACCAAGCAAATTAATAAAGAACAAAGGGAAATACCACATACAGAGAAGACATAATTTTAAAATATATTAGAAACATTAATTTTACATGCCAAAATATAACCCTAGTATAAGCAGAGAATAACAGGTTGAAATTTTATATACTCATTACAACTAATCTCCAAATGCATATTCAATTAATATTCCTACTAGGCTAGGGTATGAATTTAACACATTTTTTTTTTTTTTACTTTTCAAAACAGAATAGAAATAGTAATAATTCTACTCCTACATTATTCTATCACCTAAGACCAGTTAGTGAAACAAGAACAAATTTGAATGAAAAAAAACACTGCTTTTTTCTACACTGGAAAACATTATAAAGTTAGTGCTCTCATATATGAGATAATCTCTCCGCACCAAATATCAAATTACTAGAACATAGCACTTTCTGAATACTATTGGAAGGTAATATTACAATACTGATTTATTCAATTTAGCAAATATGTATTGAAGACTCACTGTGTACAAGGCACTGTCCTGATATATTATGCATAACAACACATGTGCACAGACTACCACTTTCTATAGCCATTCTTAAAGTTGTATTCCCAAGAAACAATGTTTATCACCTAGTATTGCCCTTAGTTTCTACAGATAGAAAAACAAATATGAATCAAAAAGGAATACGTTTGCTTTGAAGTAACCACTATCTAATAGCCTTTCCATATGTACATAACTCGATATGCCTAAAACTTATCATAATTTTTCTCACTGAATTGCAGAGAATAACTTTCTGAATATTGGAAACAAACTCAAGAGAAATAAAGTTTAAGACCTGTATGTCATGGCACCTTTAAAATGGTTTTGTACCAGAAAACCACTTTAAAGTGATATGAACACCTGCACCTGTGCCACCTAGAAATATAAGCAGAGACTTAGACAAACGTTGTTTTCATTATTATTTTTATCAAAGAAGGATTAGAAGCAGGTATGATCATTTCAACTTTTATGTTAATACAATCTTTCTGTTCTGGGATAAATTCTAGCTACAGTGTCAGTATCAATAATAATCATACTTAACAGTGAGTGATCACTTACTATGTGACAGGTACGAAGCAGTCCATATAAAGTAACTCATTTAATCCTCTCAATAGCTCTATTATACTAACTTCACTGATGAGTAAACAGGCTGTGCAGAATGGTTATGTAAACTGTGCATACACATGTCCACTTACTATGTGTCAATTTAAAAATAGTAATAAAAATCAAAGCTGCTAAACGAAGAGGATTTCAATCTAGGTAGTTTTTCTCTAGAAAGCCAGAGTCTTACCTACTAAACAAAACCAATTATCTTTCTAGATTATCTTGTCTTAATTGTCTTTGTTTCTTGATTATTTAAAGATTAAATGCAAACTGATAACGATACATCGTATATTAAATTTTGCCAGGATCTGGATGATTATAACACCTGGCATATGCCAGATCCTTTCCGGCATCCCAGAATTTGGATGGTTGCCCAAGAGACCGTTTGTGTTCAAATGTTCTTACATATATACTAGAAGTGACAGCTGCAAAAACTTATGGAAAGCAGCAAAACATCGAGAGCCCTAGGTTCTGCCCTGCCTCCCTGTAATCATGTTTTAGCTCAGTTAGAAAGGAACTGGTAATGTATCCATACTGTACTTGGAGGTCAGCTACCCCCTGCAACTCTTGTACCATTTAATTCCTAAACTTTCTTCAGATACACTTATGTATTTTATTTACTGAAGATTATCTAGTCTTTCGCTAACTGAGTGATTTCCTAAACAAAATTCATTAATCCCTTAAAAAATATTTACTAAATGTCTACTCAAAATGAAAGGAATACACAAGGAATACACACAGTCTTTCACAATGGTTTTATGTCGTAAAACACGATGTCCCGTGTAGTTAAAATGAGAGAACAAAATAAAATTCATAAATTTACGAATAACCAGCATACTTAGTTTTACAGCATTATGTACAAACACAGAAAGGAAACATCGCATGTTCTATTAGTCCATTCTCACTTTGCTATGAATAATTATCTGACACTATGTCATTTATAAAGAAAAGAGGTTTCATTGTCTCATGGTTCTACAGGCTATACAGGAAGGGTAATGCTGGCATCTGGTCTGCTTCTGGGGAGACTTCAGGAAACTTATTTATAGTGGAAGGTGAAGTGGGAGCAGACATGTCACATGGCCAGAGCAGGAGCAAGAGTAAGAGGGGGAGATGCCACACACTTTTAAATAACCAGATCTCATGAGAACTCACTCACTGTCATGAAAAAGGTGCCCAGAAGATGGTACTAAACCATTCATGAGAAATGTGACTCCATGATCCAATCACTTCCCAACAGGCCTCACCTCCAGCATTGGAGGATTAAATTTGAACATGAAATTTGGGTGGGGACAACATCCAAACTATGCCATATGCGTTAAAGTTTATATTTATATTTAGTATTACTAGCTTGCATTATTAGCTATTATTCACCAGCAATCGAATTGGGTACTAATTTGAATATTTTTTCTAATTTCTAATATAGTAGACATAGAAACAAGTATGAATTGACACTATATTATTCAAAGGCCACTCATTTTTCATTAGGAAATTATTACTCAAATGGCCAAGTAATGTAAAAACTGAAAAATATGTCTGAAATGATCTGGTGAAAAATGACTATTTATATCCTCCAAAAATAAATTGGGGTATGTATGACTACATAATTAGTGACATTATGCTCATTTACTTCACGTAAGATAATGAATGAGGCAACTTAAGAATTTAGAAAACAATATAATTTATAATTTACTCTTCAACTAATGGCGTTTTTCAATAAAGAACACAGGATGAACTAAGTTGAGGTGGGCTGGTTGGAGTTCCACTCCACAGATCATGAAGAATGTGTACACATACTATGCATGGTAGATTGTCAGAAGGAATAAGCAGAAATACTCAATTGAATCTCTTCAGATCAACACTTATAAAGAAGGTTTGAAACTTTCTTACCATGTAAACGGAAATGAGTTTAGCACTAAGCATCACCTAATGAACACAAAGAGAAGGGTAAAGGAGGAAAAATGAGTGATAGCATTTTACTGTCCCCTGGAACAAAGCTTGACCTAATATTATGACATTGTTGAAGCCAGTTCCCTTCTCTTCCTTTTGAAGAAAAATATTTAGTCCCAGATATTCCTAGAAAACTATTGGCAATTTCTTTAGCATAGAACAAACAAGATCAACTTTCGTGAGACCAAAGAGATTTTTTTTTTTTTTTTTTTTTTTTTTTATAAGTTGTAACCAAACTTTAATCCCAAGGATTCTCACAAACATATTACAAATGACAGCATGAAAAAAAAATCTCGCACAGTAATCAAAGTTCGCTCTACAATGTACCTTAAAACTGGAAGGACATTTTTTGAAATCTCAAATTTGCACATAAAGAATGTCACGGAACGCCATGTATCCATATACAGCAATCAAATAAGGAACTTATGACCTAAAGCAAAGGTAAACTTTCTTGAATAACAGATTCTATACCAACTAGGCAACCTCTGCCCAGGATGAAAGTTGGATTTTTCAAAAACCTCTAATTTAATAGTTCAGCGTTTCTTTTTACCTGATGGCTTGTGTTTCACAGCAGTTTTTAAAGACTGCTTATTCAACTATAGCTGCATCCTATATCCCAGCTATGGAAAAAAAGTAAATCTTAGTTTTTTTGCCAGTTGTTTCTGTATTTAAAAAAAAAAAATCAGACTTCTGCTGGGCAGGTTTAGAGGTTTATTATCAGTCTATGCATAACTAAAGTTCAAAGCAAATTCAATTTTGCTTAAGGGAACATTGTAAAGTAACAATTCTTGGTATTACATGCCTCATATGATCCATTTCAAACCACAGAGAATCACACCTTTGTGTCACTGTTTCAAGAGACAAACAGATTTTGAACAGCTAAAACATCTTAAAAATGCACCAAGCTTATGAAGTCTCAAACAAAACTTGAATTTCCTGTACATACTCCCGTCAAATGAAGTAATTTCCTGTACACCACTTCTCTTGCAAACTGTCTTCTATTTCCTTTCATTTGACCTAGATCGGCTACGAGACCTAGAGAAGGATCGGGACGGCTTGTGATTTCTCTCCCGAGACAGCGATCTCTCTCTTCTCCTATCTCTAGAAAGGGACCTGCTTCGGCTGCGAGAGAAGCTTCTCCTTCTTGGAGATCTGCGACGAGGTGGAGGACTCCTCCTACGATAATCATCTCGAGGGCGACGACCCCAAGAGGGAGGTGGGCCACGATTTCTACTTCTTTTTTCACCATTCGACAGTTCCACCCTTACACGGCAGCCACATAGTGTTCTTCCATCTAGCTCTCGGACTGCATCAGCTGCATCTCGGGGATCTTCAAATTCAACAAAAGCAAAGCCGGGTGGGTTTCTAGCAACCCACACACTTCGGAGTGGTCCATAGTAGCCAAAAGCCCGTTCCAACTCGGTCTTGTTGCCATTGTTTCCAAGATTGCCTACATAAACCTTACAGTCCAATGGACAGGAATCACGATGCATTTCGAGATCTAGGGTTAAAAAATGCGGCGGCTCAAATCCACACGCTCCGATGGGTCTTCCTGCTTTCCTCCAGCCCAACACCCACCAACGCTCTCGCTCACCCGGCGTCCACGAAAAATCCCAAAGAGATTTTAATGGTGATTTTGAAATACAATATGAAAAAAAAATCCACAAAATAATAGAAAAATCTTATGATTTTAATGTAGTTAGAGAGTCAAGATAAAATATTCTTCAGGAGTCATCTCTGAATTCCAGTGGATCTGTATTGCAACAGCAATATGTAGTTTGTGGGACGAGATGGGGGACGGAGATTGGAGATCACACAGATCAATGTGTGAAAACCCATAGTAAAAGTGGCAAGACAAAAGGAAGGACCTGTTCTAGTTGGTTTTGTTAGAAGAGATTTAGGAAAGACATAAGAAAACATGAGTGAGCAGAAATAAAGTGTGAAACTACACACTGCAGTTGAACACATGAGGGCAGACGAAGTGAATCAATGCAAAAAGTTTGTGATTCAGCATTGTAGTTGTTTAACTGGATCATTCACAGGTACCTTGAAACTGTATAGGAATTAGAACTCACGTTCATCTTCACTCTGGCCACTGAATGTCAATATATAGTAGAAAGATTGAAATTAAATTCCCCTACTAATATATAAATAAAACCTATAAAACAAGATGCAGACGTTTATATTATAAAAACAGGATGCATATATTTATATTATACTTTATATGAGGATGTAATGTAAAGAATTGAAGCTGGTAAAGTTTATTTAACTGCTTGAACAGAGCCATTCTGTCTGTGAGTACCCAGAATGAACCAGACCACATAAAGCTATCAAATGCAATTGTTTTCAGTCCCATAGAAAGACAAATTAAATATGGCCTTCAATACTCTACTACTCTTTTAGTGTCAGAGAATTAAAAAGCAATTCACTTAATGGGCATTTTAGTTCCATAATCATTGAACAGGTGAGGTATATCAAAGCCAAGTGTTGCCTGTATAGGATGAATTCATGCATGATTCATATGCCTTGTGATATCATTTTTGAAACAAAAATAACTTAGATTATTTCCAAATAATCCCACCCTTTCTAGCAAGGTGATGGCTGTGAAGATCATACCCCACATTTATGTTAGGTATTGCTGGTGCTACAGGGAGCAATTTGAACATGAATTTTGGAGAACTACAGTTGTGGACATGGACCTCTCTGGTGGCTCCTTGAAAGATCATCAATAGAAACTGTCTCCAAGGAAGCCTACACATTGGACTCGCCAGACAATGACATTAAATTATGTGTCAAAATATTCAAATATCTAAAGAAATTCATGAACAAAGCCTAAAAGAAACTAGATGAATGATGCCTCACCAAGTAGAAAATACAGAAAAAGAGATAAAACTTATAAAAAAGACCCAAATAAATTCTGATAAAATTCTATAACTGAAAAGTACAATAACTACAATTTACAAAATATACTACACTAGTTCAATATTAATGTAAACAAGTAGAATAGTAAATATAAACAAGTAGAATCATCAATAAACAACAATAATTTGAATGTAATTCAAATGATATCTAGTTTGAGAGCAGAAAGTAAAAAATAATGAAAAAAATAAACAGAGTCAAAGAAACCTGTTTGACAACATCAAGCATATCAACATACACATAGTAGAAGTCCTAGAAGGAAGAAAGATGGGGCAAAGGACAGAAAGAATATTAGAATAAATATTCACTAGACATTTTCAGAGATCTGAGTCCACACATACAAGAAATATAATGAACTCCAAGTAGGACAATCTCAAAGATACCCACAATGAAAGATTTTATAATCAAAATGTCAAAAAGTAAAGAGAAAGGGGGTATCTTGACAGCATCAACAGAGGCAATATTTATCGCATACAAGTATTCCTCAATAAGATTAACAGCAGGTTTTACATCAGGAAAAACGGAGAACAAATGACAGTGGAATAACATGTGTAAAATACAGAAAGAAACTAAAATATCAAACAAGAAGTCTATATCTAGCCATACCATCCTTTAAGAATAGACAAGTGGGATCACATCAAGTTAAAAGGCTTTTGCACAGCAAATAAAACAATCAAAGTCGTGAAGATACAACCCACAGAATGAGATAAAATATTTGCAAACTATTCATTTGATTAGGAATTAATAACCAGAATATGTAAGATGCTCAAACAATTCAATAGGAAAAAAATCTAACAATCTGATTTTAAAATAGGCAAAAGAACTGAATTGACATTTCTCAAAATAAAACATACAAAGGGAAGAGGGGTATGTGAAAAAGTGCTCAAAATCATTAATCATTTGAGAAATGTAAATCAAAACTACAATGAGACATGTAACCTCAGTTAAAATGGCTTTTATCCAAAAGACAGGCAATAACACTGCTGGTGAGGATGTGGAGAAAAGGGAGCCCTTTTACACTCTTGGTGGAAATGTAAATTAGTAAGTCACTACGAAGAACAGTATGGCTGTCTCTAGAAAAACTAGAAATAGAACTATCATATGATCCAGCGATCCTACTTCTAGGTATACACTCAAAAGACAGGAAATCAGTACATCAGAGAGATATCTGTACTTCCATGTTTGTGGCATCACTGTTCACAATAGCCAAGATTTGAAATCCATGTAAGTGTCCATCAACAGATGATTGGATAAAGAAAATGCAGTACTTATACATAATGGAACACTATTCAGTCATAAAAAATAAATGAGATCCTGTCATTTGCAAACACATGGACAGAAGTGGAGGTAACTATGTTAAGTGAATTAAGCCAGGCATAGAAAAACAAACAGCACATGTTCACACTCATTTGTAGAAGCTATAACTTAAAACAGTTGATCTCATGAAGGTAGAGAGTAGAATGATGGCTACCACAGGCTGGCAAGGATAGTGGCGGGGCGAGGGGGTGAAGTGGATGGTTAATGGGCACAAAAATATAGTTTTATAGAGTTAATATCCAGCAATTAGTAGTACAATGGGGTGACTACAGTAAATACCAAATTCATTGTACATTTTAAAATAACTTAAAGAGTATATTTGGAATGTCGTTAACACACATTAATTGATAAATGCTTGAGAAGATTAATACCCCATTTATTCCAATGTAATTATTAGACTTTGTATGCCTTTATCAAAATCTCATATACCCTGTAAATATTCCACCTAATATGTTTGCATACAAATTTAAAAATGTTAAATTAATAAGTCCTTGAAAGCACAGACAGCACAAGCAAAAACAGACAAATAGGATTATATCAGACTAAAAAGCTTCTACACAGAAAAGGAAACCATAGAGTGAAGACACAATCTGCAAAGTGGGAGAAAATTTTTGCAAACTATTTGTCTGAAAAATGATTTATACCCAGAATATACGAGGAGCCAAACAACCCAACAGAAAACAGCAACAAATAATCTGACTAAAACAATGGGTGTAATAAATTACATAATGAGTACACTGTCCACTGTTCACCTGATCGTTACACTAAAAGCCCGGACATCATCACTATACAATACATCCTTGTTAACAAAACTGTCCTTGTACTCCTTAAATTTTTTAAAATAAAAAATTACAATTATTCTTTTAAAAATTGGCTAATAATCTGAATAGACATTTCTTAAGACATACAAATGACAAATCAGGTATATGAAGAAATGTTTAACATCACTAATCATCAGGGAAATGCAAATGAAAACCACTGTAAGATATTAGATAGAATGGTTTTTATAAAAAAGGCTGAGAATAACAAATGGTGAGGATTGGGAGAAAAGGGAACTCTAATACACTGGTGGGAATGTAAATTAGTACAGCCATTATGGAAAACAGTATAGGGATTCCTTAAAAAACGAAAACTAGAATTACCATATGATTCTGTAATCTCTCTACTGAGTACATATCCAAAAAAAGAACTTATTATGTTGAAGAGATACCTGTAACCTGATGTTTATTGCAGCAGTATTTACTATAGTCAACATATGGAACCAACCAAAGTCTTCATCAATAGATGAATGAATAAAGAAAATGGGGTGTATATACCCAATAGAATGTTATTCAGCCTTTAACAAATGAAATCATGTTTCCTGGACAAGCCTGGAAGACATTAAGTGAAATAAGCCAGGCAGTTTTTTCACCATCATTTTTTGCAGGAACTATCTTTTTCACATTACGTATTCTTGGCACCCTCATCCAGATCAGTTGATCTTTTATGTACAGGCTTATTTTTGAACATTCTATTCTGTTCCTTTGGTTTATATATACGCTTTTATGCCAGTAACGTAGTGTTTTAATTACTATCACTTTGTAATATATTTTGAAATCCAGAAGCATGACTCTTCCAGCTTTGTTGTTCATTCTAAAGATTGATTTAAATGTCTGATACCTTTTGTAGTCCCTCATAAATTTAAGATTGTTTTTCTGAGATTATAACAAATGTCATTGTAATTTTGATAGGGATAGTATTGAATCTGTAAATCACTTAAAGTACAAACATTAAAAAATATGAAGTCTTTCAGTCTGTAAGTACAAGATGTCTTTCATTTATTCAGGGAGTTCTTTGATTTTTTTCATTAGGATTATATCTTTTTTTGGGGGGTTGGCTGATTTTATTTTTTTATGTTTGTGGGTACATAGTAGGTGTATGTATGTATGGGGTACATGAGATATTTTGCTACAGGCATGCAAATTAAAGTAAGCATATAATGGAGAATAGGGTGTCCATTCCCTCAAGCATTTATCCTTTGAGTTACAAACAATCCAATTACACTCTTTATGTTATTTAAAAATATACAATTAAGTTATTGTGTATAGTCACCCTGTTGTGCCATCAAATAGTAGGTCTTTTTTTTTTTTTTTAAGAAGGAGTTTCACTCTTGCTGCCCAGGCTGGAATGCAATGGCACAATCTTGGCTCACCGCAAACTCCGCATCCTGGGTTCAAGCGATTCTTCTGCCTCAGTCTCCCAAGTAGCTGGGATCACAGGCATGTGCCACCATGCCCGGCTAATTTTTTTTTCTTTTTAAATTTTTAGTAGAGATGGGGTTTCTCCATGTTCATCAGGCTGGTCTCGAACTCCCGACCTCAGGTGATCCACCCGCCTCAG